ATCTTCTTTACTTTTTTTATTTTTTAATCTATTTCATCTGATATTAGTACTGCTACTCCAGCTTTTCTCTGAATGCCATTTGCTTTTAATATCATTTTCCACCCTTTCACTTTGAGTCTATATTTGTGTTTGGAGCTGAGATGTGTCTCCTGGAGGCAACATATGGTTGAGTTTTGTTTTTTGATCCATTCTGCAACTCTGTGCCTTTTAATTGGTGAGTTCAATTCATTTACATTTAGGGTGATTCTTGAAATATGAGGTCTTCTTATAGCCCTTTTATCTTTTTTCTGATAGCTCAGTGTTTCCATTGCTTCCTTGTGCTTCTGTTTTCTTTATTTTGGTTGGCTTTTGTGCATTTTCCCTCTGGTTCTTCTTGTGTTTTATGTTACATACTTCGGTTCTGAATCTTTGATGTGTGGTTACCATTACAAATATGTAAAGGATAGTTATATTTATATATGGTCGTCCATTTTCTTCTGCACATGCCTTATCTCCATTCCCCTTTGTGAATTTGGATCTTTAAATCCTTCCCTTTTCAGTCATTGTCTCAATTTGTATGCTGAAAGTTCATTACTATCTTGCTATAACAATTCTCTTATTATTATTTAAGCTTATAATGCCCTGTTCATAGTAGGGGTTGCACTCCTCTGCTTCTATTTGCCTGATAGTCACTTTACTCATAATTATTTTTATTTTTTTTTGAGGGGCGGGGTTCATTTTGTTTTAGGTGAGCTGACCTCATTCAGTATTTCTTGTAGTGCAGGCCTCGTAGTAGAGAATTCCCTCAATTTTTGTATGTCTGGAAAGGTCTTAATTTCTCCTTCATATCTAAAGGAGAGCTTAGCTGGATACATTATTCTAGGCTGGTTGTTCCTTTCACTTAATAGTTTAAATATTCAATTCCATTCCTTTCTGGCTTGTAAAGTCTGCCCTGAGAAGTCCGAGGATAATGTAATGGGTTTTCCTTTATAAGCGACCGTTTTCTTCTCTCTGGCTGCCCTTGGAATTCTGTCTTTGTTGTTGATTTTTGATAATTTCAATACAGTGTGTCTTCGTGAAGGCCTCTTTGAGTTGAGATAATTGGGTGTTCTATTGACTTCTTGAATTCCAAGCTCCAGCTCATTCCTTAGATTTGGGAAATTCTTGTCCACTGTTTGTCTGAAAATGCTTTCTAATCTCTGTTTCTTTTCCTCCCCTTCGAGAATTCTCATTATTCTTATGTTTCCTCTCCTGATGGTATCAGCTAATTCTTGTATTTCTCTTTCATTCTTCGATCTCTCTTTTCTTCCTTCTGATTTATTTCTAGATTTCTGTCTTCAATATCACTGATCCTTTCCTCTGTTTTGTCGACTCCATTACCCAGGCTTGTTATTTCATTTTTCAACTCTTGCAGTGTTTTTTTTCCCTTCAGAAGGTCTCTTCTGTTTTTGTTGTTGTTGTTGTTGTTGTTGTTGTTGTTTTGAGAGTTTCAGTCTTTTTGCTAAAGAGCTCATTCTGCTCATCTAGTTATTTTTTCAATTCTTGAAATTGTCGATATGATTTGTTTTGGATCTCATCGAGTTTTTTCAGAAGTACCATCCTGAATTCTCTGTCATTTAAGTTGCATATTTCTATGTCTATAAGCTTATTTTCTGGAGATTTTTATCTTTCTTTCTGAGATGCCTTGTCACCTTGGTTGTTCATGGTGTTTAATGGACTATTTCTCCGCTTGGGAATTAATGGAAATTTGTTCTGCTTTTTTTTTTTTCCAGAAAGAAGATTTATTGTATAATGGTCCCTAGCCTGTTGCAAATAAGGTGTTTTTCTTTTGGTTTCCAGTAGGTGGCATCTAAGCCCTGTTTTATATAAAGTCCTAAAAAATGCCTTTTTAAAAAATTTTCTTGTCAATATTTAATCATACTCACTACCCTCAGTTTCAGTTCCTGTCAGTGTCAGCGACAGTCTTGGCAATGTTTGCTCAGATTCCCCAGGGGCTCTGCAGTGATTGGTCTAGGATGGTATGGGGGGAGAGGCCCTCTGGGTTGGCAGTTGAGGGCTGTGGCTCAGCCTTGGTTTTGCAACCGGGGCTGGTAAAAATCAACTGTGGTCCTGTCCCGCTTCTCTGTCTAATGACTGGGTCTTGTCGCCCGCTGCAGGGAGCTCACAGCAGTCCTAGGCAGGGCTTTTCAGAGAAGTCCCCATGCCTTCACCCCTCCCCCTTCTCCTGCTGAGAGTTCAGGAGGCTGTGAGAGGCAGCTTCTTTATTTCTCCCAGTCCATCGACCGATACTTGGAGTTCTGACCTGTGGTAGCTCTTATGTTCAGATTCCACACTCAGACGTGCTCATATGCAGTTTGGGTGTTTTTTGTTCAGTTTTAGATGTTCAGCTTATTGTTTCAAGGGGAGAGATCTGGGAACATCTCTTACTCCGCCATGTTTAATCACTTTACTAATAATTTAAGTGCAACATGAAGAAATCCAGATTGCTAATAGTGTTTCATAGGTCCTTTTTGCAACATGAATTCTCCACTCTGGCTCAAATTTAATGCTATTTGTGCATGTGATATATCGCTTACACAGAAGGGGGAGCCATTTCATTCATGAAAGCTTTCTATACTTTGATGATTACGTAACTTATGTGATATTTTTGCGAACATCTATGCCACATAAATTTATAAATTTCAGATTTCTTTACCATAGACAATTCTAGACATACCAGGGGTATCTTGTTAAAAATATTCTGTAGATAAAGACATTAATATGTGTGCTAGGAGATGTCATTAGTAGAATTACAAGGGGATTTTACCAAGTCATTTTTTTTTCCCCTGGGCTTTCTATGGTAAACAGGAGAAAATAGGCTGCAGGCCAGCTGCTGACCCTTTTCTTACCAATGACCTTGATGTTTTTACAGAGTACAGGCCAGTTACTTTGTAAACTATTCCGCAGATTCAGAACACCACAGAAATTATGCTGTTTGTTTTCTCAGTAAACAAAGCTAATTTGTCCCATTACTAGAAATATTTTTTCATTTAGTTAAAACAGTGTCTACCAGGTTTCTCCACTATAAAGTTAGCTACAGTCTTGTAGGGAGGTAATTGATCATGACTTGATCCTCGTCAAACTTTTCGCACCCAGTGATGATTGTTGCCTGAGTCATATTATTACTATCTTGTTTACCAAATGGTGATTTTCTAATTTCATCTTTCTTTCTACATTTATCAATTGTCTTTCCACTATGAGGAAGAGATTTACTTTTTCCTCTTTTATGTATTTATTCACTTATATTAGGATGAACTTATGTGTTCAATATTAATCCTTTACTGTCATATTTGGTCCCTTAATTTGATTGCTTGATTGGTGTATCCCCATCATTCTTTGAGCACCTCCTTATTCAGAGGTACAATAGATTATTCAAGGCTCATCTTACACTTCTCCTGTCCAAGCCCTAAAATAGCTGGGACTTCTCTTAGAAGTCCTCGTTTTTTTTGTAGAGAATGGTATTGAAACCAGGATGTGAGTAAGAGTAGTAAGTGCTATTATTGCTTTTGAGTTATCATTACTTGTAGGCTCCCTCAGTGGACAGAGCTAGGAAGTAAATGCATTTATATATAAATCCATGTGTATCCATTATCTGTCTATAAATATGTTAAAACCACGAGTTAACACTGCTACCTCCGATTCTAATGCAGTACAGTGCATTCCATTCTTCCTTTCCCTAATTGTATCTTTTTTCTCCAGTACCGAGAATCCTGGCCCTATTTGTCCTCAATATATTTACATTTTACTGAATCCTCCTGTTTTTAACCAATCTTATCACATGGTCTCAGTGTTGCCAACTCATATTGACTGAGAGTTCCCTGCAAATCCCAGTGCCACCAACTAAGAGCTCACTGCTGACTCACTCGCCCACCCCTACCATCCCACTGCCTCTAGCTCATGCCTGCTTACTCACTTTTATCTCTACTTACAATGTTAATTTTCTTTTAAGATATTCAGTCAAAGCAAGTTAAAGATAGTAGTTACATATATTTAAAATTATCTTGAAGATCACTTGTGAGGAATTGGTTCTTAGGAAGCTAAAAAGCCAATAATCAAATTTTTTATTTTTAACGGTGCCTTCTTTATTGGTCTGGGGCAGTAGAGGTTCGCTTTAAAAAGGAGGGGACAAGAGGGCAATGGTAAAGGTGAAGAGAGGGATTTCTTTCTGCTGAGTGGTGACTTGAAATAAAGATGTTCCACTCCAGGGTAGGAGAATTTGGGCATCGCACAGTTGAACTTCAATTAAATCATGTGCTTTTCTGATTATAAAATGTATTTGGATTATAATTTTTTGCAATCTAAGGCTTATTAGAAAACAGTTTCAACACTTAATAAAAAAAACTTCTTAAACTCGATTAGCATTTTTTACTGTGATATTTTTTCCAGAAGACTCTTGTTTTAAAGTTTTTTGGTGTTAACATTATGAAACCTGTTATTATTGTGCCGTTATAGATACATTAAGAGAGTCATTGTTTTTTTTTTGTTTTTTTTTTCTTTTAATTCTTAATTTTGGGTAATTTTCTAGTAAATTCTTTTAAGAGATCTCAGGTAGCATGCAGAAGTCAAGGCAGGAAAAATTAAATCATCGGGTATTCTAATTAAAGATTAATATAATAATACTTAACCTATACTGTGTTTTTAATACATTAAGAATACACAATATGAAGGACTTTTATTCATTGAAAAATATACAGTATATAATGTACTTTTAGCTTTATATAAATGTTTAGATTTATGAAGATAATATAAATACTTGACACAGTCTGGCTTGTTATCATTTTTTTTTCTTTCTATAGTGAATCGGACAGTCTTAGGAAACATGGTGGCAATGTTTCTTTGGATGTTTTACCAGTTAAAGGTCCTCAGAGTTCTCCACCTCTTTCACAAGCTGTTTACTCACCTCAAGATAAATCATCTTCTGAAGAAATGTGGACTGTCCAACCTGAACACTTGATTTTGGTAGCCCCTACTACTTGTGAGTATGACAATGATGAAACTACAGGAATGCGCTCTGAAACTCAGGGCTGTATGTATTTAACTCTGTACCCATGGCTCATCTATGAGATATACATGGATTTTATTCAGATGTGACCGATGGCTTTCACAGGTCCTCCTCATTTATTAGAGACCTAACTCAGACTTGACCAGAGCTTCATTCTGACACAAGGCCATGGTCCTCAGTCCAAGTTCCCAGTTCCCCATATGGCAGAGCCATGCATCCCTTCCTGCCATCACATCCTCTGCCCCAAAGAACTCATTTGGCACTTGGGCTCTTTTACCTTTAACATTGATAAAGTTGGTTCATATAGTAGGAACAAATCTGGTACCTATGTATGTACCTGAGATAAGACCAGGTGGTAACAGTTTCCAGATTTTCTTTTTTCTCTGACTTTGTTCAGTAATGAACTTTGTTCAGTACCTTTGTAGTTTCTAAGAGTAAACAGATGGTCTTGATTTGAAATTCCTGTACTTGGGCAGTTGAGAAAGCAAAATAAGCTGGTTTACTGGTGTACTTATTTAATATTTATTTTTACTGTTTATTAACTTTATCTTTTTCACTAATACTAAATGTAAGTAACATTTATCTGATATAATAGGTGATCTGGCAAAAACTGGACGTTTCCAGATTTTAAATAATTCTGTTAGGTTACTGAAATTTGAGCTGTACTGGCCAGCACATTGTCTTACGGTAACACCGCAACATGGATTTATCGAGCCAGAGTAAGTATGACCTTCCCTTTTCTCTGGGTGTTATTCAGATGCTAGCATGGTGACTTTCTAAGGGTTAAATAACATGCCACTTGACTCAGTAGAATTTTTTTGTGTGCTAACTGTACAGAGCGCCATGGATGTTTCTGTAGGACTTACAGTGAGTTTAAGACTCATGCCTCTTAGCGGAATAAAGACCTTGTCCACAGCCAATTGTGGTATATAGCCTAAAAGGGTCAAAAAAAGACGTGTGAGGTG